TCTTCTCCTCCTCCTACCCCTTCTCCCCTCCTTTCTCTTCTTTTCTCTCTCCTCCTCTTCCTCTCTCCCTTTCTCTCCTCTCCTCTCTCCATTATCCCAATTCCCTCTCTATCACTCGAATATCCTCACCCTCCTACTCTCTCTCATTCCCCCCTCTCTCCCTCTTTATCCCAATCTCCTGTTTTTTCTTTCCCCACTTTTCCCTCTTCACTTTTAACCCTCTCCTGTTTTCCCCTCCTCTTTTCTCTCTCCCTTCTCCCTCTCCACTTTTAACTCTTCTTCTTTAAACTCTCACGTTTCCCTCTCCTTCTTTTCTTCTCCACTTTCCCTCTCCCTCTTTTCCCTCTCCATTTTTATCTCTTTTCCACTGCTCCTTCACTCTTCCCTCTTCCACTTTTCCCCTCCTCTTCTCTCTCTCTTTTCCCTCTCCGTCTTATCCCTTCCTCCTTTTCCCTCCTCACTTTTCCTCTCTTAATTCCTTCTCCTCTTATCCCTCTCCCTTTTTCCCTCTCCTCATTTTCCCTTCTCCACTTTTCCCTCTTAATTCCCTTTCCTCTTATCCTCTTTTCCCTCTCCTCTTTTCCCTCCCTACTTTTCCCTCTCCTCTTTTCCCTCTCTTTTCCCTCTCCCTTCCCTCTCCTCTTCTCTCCTCTCTTTTCCCTCTCCTCTTCCCTCTCTTTCTCCCTCTCCTCTTTTCTCTTCTCTTTTCCCCTTTTTCCCTCTCCCTTTTCCCCCTCCACTTTTTCCCTCTCCTCTTTTCCTCTCCACTTTTTCCTCTCCTCTTTTCCCTCCCTACTTTTCCCTCCTACTTTTCCCTCTCTTTCCCCTCTCCCTTCTCCCTTCTTCCTCTTTTCCCTCTCCCCTTCTTCCCTTCCTCTTTTCCCTTCTCCTCATTTCCCTCTCCACTTTTCCCTCTTAATTCCACTCTTTCCTCTTATCTCCTCTCCTCTTTTCCTCCTCTTTCCCTCTTCTTCCCTCTCGCCTTTCTCCTTCCTTCCTCTACTTCCTCTCTTTCCCTCTCCTCTTTCCCTCCTCCTTTTTCCCCTCTCCTTCTTTCTCCCTCTCTTTTTCCCTCTCCTCTCTCTCTTTCCCTCTCCCTCTTTTCCTCTCTTTCCCTCTCCTTTTCCCTCTCTTTTTCCCTCTCCTTCCCTTCTCTTTTTTCCCTTCTCCCTTTTCCCCCTCCACTTGTCTCCCCACTTCCTCCTCTTTTCCCTCTCCTCTTTTCCCTCTCCTCTTTTCCCTTCTCCCTCTCTCTTTCCCTCTCTCTTTCCCTCTCCCCTCTCTCCTCTCTCCTTTTCCTTTATTCCCCTCCTCTCCTTCTTTTCCCTCTCCTCTTTTCCCCTCTCTCCTCTGCCCTTCCCTCTCCTCTCTCTTTTTCCCTCGCTCACTTTTCCACCTTCCTCTTTTCCCTTCTCCACTCCTCTTTTCTCCTCTTTTTTCCCTCTTCTTTTCCCTCTCCTCTTTCCCTTCCCTACTTTTCCCTCTCCTCTTTCCCTCTCTTCCCTCTTCTTCTCCCTCTCCCTTTTCCCTCACCCCTTTTTCCCTTTCCTCTATTTCCTCTCTCCATCTCTTTCCCTCTCCTCTCTCCTTCCCTCTCCTCTCCCTTTCCCTCTCCCTCTCTCTTTCCCTCTCCACTTTTCCCTCTCCTCTTTTCCCTCTCCACTTTTCCCTCTCCTCTTTTCCCTCTCCCTTTCCCTCTCCCCTTCTCATCCCTCTCCTCTTTTCCCTCCTCTTTCCCTCTTCCCTTCTCACTTTTCCCTCTTCCCCCTCCACTTTTCCCTCTCCTCTTTCCCTCTTCCCTCTTTCCCTATCTCCACTTTTCCCTCTCCTCTTTTCCCTCTTCCACTTTTTCACCTCTCCTCT